TCTTCTGAATGAAAACGGTGTATCGGATTTGTTAAGCATTGCTGGGTATCGAAATGAAAAACTTTTCGAGATAAAAGGGCTGGGGCACCGGTTTTCCAATTGTAACGCAGATTCCCGTTCTCACGCCGTATCTGAAGAGGTATGTTTATTTAACCACTCAGATTTGAGTCTGATTTGATCATCATTTGTATGCGATTCCACGTCACAATAAATTGTGTCAGTGTGAAGTTAATGTTTTCCCTTTCAAGTCTGATCTGATATTTTGATGGTGAAGGCAAAGCGGTCTCGTAGGCATAGGAGGCTCAGCTAGCCTTGATAGATCCAACCAGAAGCTGTCCCATAGCACGCGCTCGCTAAGTGAAGCAACTCGCAGCCAAAAGTGCCCCTATGGCGAATTTTCCTTAAAGAGTAATAAAGAGTTACATATGATTTTTCGAGAGGTGAGAAGTTGTGTTGAGCCCAATTATCTTAGGATTGGATGGAAATTGAATGGGTATCAACTTTCATGGAATTTTACGCATTTTTGAAATTTCCGCTGTTTCATCTATTTTATTATAGTACAAACTGCTGCAAACTCGGCCTGACGGACACATTTGCATGTTGTCGGATTTAGTTTCAGGGCTGATAGGAACATAGGAGTAGATAGGGACGAAGATCAATCGTGGGACTTCCAGCTGGGAGAGGGGTCGTTATGCCGGATCCCCTATACACTAACCATTCTTGATCCTTCTGACACCGCTCACCCTCCGCCTCGACGAGATCATTGTAGACCGAATAATCGGAGATAAGCGCTGAAAACCAAGGCGATCAGCAAAGTTTGATGAAAGATATAACCAGAAGGTGAACAGACGTCTTCATGAAGCATTCTGCCAATGGGCTAGGGACCCGCAATGGTACCAAACTTTCAAGAACATTTTCTCAGCTTCTTATTCAAATGCTTCCGCTAATGCGCTTTGCGTGCCGAGAGATTTGCACTCCTCTAGCAAGAGATTACTCGCGAGAGAAGAGAAAGCCGCGAAAAGTGCTGAACATGAGTTCAGTTTTTCAATCAGCCATCCATTCACACCTTTATCATGAAGCGTAGAGATGATCGGGAACAAGCGAGCCCGTCCAGGTGATTAAGGTGTGGCAACAGATTCGGACGCTCGCCTTTGAAATGATTCTACTTGAAATCGGAGGAAAATCGCACACATGTCGAGCTTGACGAATTGTGTGGCTGCCTCACAAAATTTGATGAGTTTCGTGCAGTGATTCCTTGCAGCAACACGCTCATTTGAATGTTCTGCCAAAAGCTCACAAATCCATCGACCCAATCCCCACAAGCGACACCTCAACATAGCGGTTTCTATGTATGGTAGAAGGATCCGAGTGGAAGTGGTGTAGTGGCAAGTGGCGCTGCTTACCACGCGCATTGTCCGGGGATCACGTCCCAGGTGGTGCGTCATTCGAGGCGACCAACCTTACATACCTCGGATCGCTTTAGTTGGTAAAGCGTCTCCGGAAAGATAAGAAACACTGACTTGTAAATGGGCTGATCCACGAAAATCTAGGTGGAATCGTATTCAAAATGTCACCACGTTCCTGAATGAAAGTGAAGTCGTGGCTCATCCAGAACGGGACTGACCAACGCCAGATGCTTTTCCCTTTTGTCTTGATGCCGCCCCCTCGTTCCTCTTGCAGTGAATGATTTCGTACTCCTATTTGGCCTGAGCACTGGAGTTCTGACTTCCCTCCCTCTCGATTCTTGCAGAAGCAGGATAAATGTATATAAGCATACTTTCCTAGAAAAGAAATCGAACTCGTTGTGATTCTTTATAAGTGATGGAACGACCCCAAGTTACTTCATCACTTTCTATCCTTCGTTCGCCATCCTTGCACTTACAATTAATCAAAAGCTTATTCCGCCGGGGGAGGGGGGGGGGGGGGGGGGGGGGGGGGGGGGGGGGGGGGGGGGGGGGGGGGGGGGGGGGGGGGGGGGGGGGGGGGGGGGGGGGGGGGGGGGGGGGGGGGGGGGGGGGGGGGGGGGGTATAGGGGGTAATAACCCATTCATTTCAAAACGTACTGGAGGTTGGTGCATAATACCGTAAGCGTTTTTCTTTTCGAGCTACGAATCTAGAGAATACAAGTATAACCCAAGAAACACATATATTTGAAAGGGCTTCTTCTGCCCTACAATACTATGTTTGGCATTTTCTTCTATACTGTAAGTGTACTCAGATATGGCGCTTAGAAGTTGGAGAATCAAGGTGGGCGAAAATCCATATAGAGAAAAAAGCTGCCAAAATAGGAGTTTTTCGGAATCCATCGTCATCATCGAACCTTACTCCGGTCGTCCCTTAATTTCAAATCAAATTCACGTCGTACATATTGAAAATAATGAGGATTCTAGAAACGGGCTCAGTACCCTTTTTTGATTTCTAAACCTGGTAATTTCTTGCGAAATGGAACGAAAGTCGTAAATAATGATGAGAAGAACATCATTGATCAGTTTTATGCTTAGCTTTGCTTTTGGGTTTTGCTTTAAACGTTTTTGCCAAATGCGAGCGCTACGATATTATGCACCGACCCAATATTTAAACAAGTTAGAGTACGAGACAAGACAGAGAAATTACTCAAATGGGTTTTCGGGTGTGAGCTTGGCGGCGTCAAGGTTCATCATAAACAATAGTGGCCAACAAAGTGAGAAAAAGTCAGGAAAAGGTTGATTGCGATCCACTTGAAGTCGCGGGTTCATGATACTCGCAATTGTCTCACCGGGAGCCAACATTGTTGTGTACCACATTTCGCTCTTGCAAATGAATAAGAGTGGCAATCATCGAATAGAGTATGTCTTCAAGGGGGGAGTGGAAAAAATGATGGTGGCTCTCCACCACATGTTTGAGTTTTCTTAGAGCAATGAGCAGATTTTCATAATCAAAATAAAATAAACCAAAAAAATAGAATTTGGAAACCTGAGCAAGAGGTAGGTTCTGGACGATTTGGAGAAATGAAGCAAATGCTTTTTCAGTGCTGAATCTTCCCAATGCGACTTATCCATTCATACCTACACGCCTTGGCAAAATTAGTAATACATATTACATATGCCTGGAAAGACGAAAACTTTGACTGTCTCTGACCTTCTCAGGGAACTTTGTTTACCAAGTTCAAATATAAAAGGTATTTCGTTTATGACCGGAATTCTCATGAGCGGCGATCCGAGACCATTTTAAATTCACAGACTAAAATTGAGTTTTCATAGTCTCAGGTAAAGAAATGATTAGACTAGATCCGAAAAATTTGATTCTTGCGTATATTTTTACCACATTAGCATCTGGCATCTTTCCAAAACGTTCTCGTTTGATGAACCAATCGCTTGGTGTTCCAGACAACAGCTCGGAATGAGCTTTCTCAGGGAACGAGCCATGGAGGAACAAGCGAAAACCCTTCGACAGGCCGCAATGGTTGGCGTCGGATTATGGTAAGTACTACACCTTTCAAGAAGAAGAAAACCAGCACTTCCGGCGTTGGGCAGTTTCTTTTCGGTACTCATGCGCCAGGCATCCAACACTCCTCCAGAGATGTAAAAGCATTTGAATGCGTAATTTGACTTCACAATAGCAATCAGCTCCGAGAACTGACATATTTTACCATTACCGACTCTTCAGAAGTAATCGACTTCTCAGTTCTAGCAGAAATCAATATAATAGCATAATGTACCATAGTGTTTGATGCCACGCGCCACAAAACACCGTACCCTTCTATGCTAACATTTTTTATTGCCCAAAAGTAAACTTCGGGTGGAAATAGTGTTGCGGCAAGTGGCATTAGATATCGTATGCGTACGGTCAAAAGATTTAATCAAATTCGATCAACGAATTCTTCCCCCATCAAGCCTCTCTCCGAGGTTGGCCAAGTTTTCCATATGTATCAGTAAAGGGAAATATATACAGCGGAAAGATTTCCCAACCCCCTCAAGAATTGAAGGAGTAGATAAGGGCTACGTTTCGGTTTCCTAGCCTCTGAAAGAGCCCGATGTGGTCAGATGCAAATGTAGCTTGTCCGCCCAAATGATCACGTAAAAACTCAAGACTTTTCATTTGACCAGTAAACTGAAAGCAACAACCCGAGATCTTCTTAGGTCGTCTGGAATAATGTTGCGTGTCTAGGACAGAGTTGCCCACAAGTATAGTAGAGGGGCCGTAGTCGCGACGCCAAACTGCACGACAAGCGCTAGTGCATCGCAAGGTGAGCAAATCTGAGCAAATGGACGAGATTCCTCGCGCACCCCCGTGACATGCAACGCATCGGTTGACGGACTACTTATCCATCTTTCGTCTTGCTGCTCTCTCACCTTATTAGGCGGCTATGACTGATCACACACATTCAAACTTTTGCCACAACTATAGGCTCACCCACCTCGAAGTCCCTCCTCCTACAAGGCTTAGTCCTAGGGCTCTCACCTCCCTCCTTGGGATTTGGAGCCGAGCCAGGCGCCGTTCTCTAACTGTCTGTGCCCTCCGCCATTCGTGGCAGGACCATGGAAGAAAGTTCAAGTAGTCCGTAAACCGACATGCAACGTGGATTACGACATAGCGGCTAATTCAAATACGCGCAAGTTGGTGTACCACGGAGTAAGCAAAAGGGGAAAATTCGTCCATGCACGCTCTTTCCTCATCTCAAAAGAATAGGGAGGGGGTTCTTGTCGAGGACTTAATCTACGGCTTTCTTTGACATTTTTGTATCCAGTGAGCTCGGCTTGCACATTTTCATTATTTACCGCTGCTACCCCACTGTTCCGATCAGTTGTTGTTGCTTGAGTTTAATTTAGCAGAGCCATGGCTCCACCTATCAATACCGTTGGAAGCTTACTGGACCAGTGGAGGTGTCTTTACTTTCGTGCTGAAGCTTTTGAGCGGGAAGGTTAGAGATAATTTGAACATTCCAGGCTCCGACGAATGGCGAAGAAGCCGAAACGTGAACCTAATAAACTTTTCTATTTTGGATCAAATAATATTTCTACTGTACTCAGTACCCCAGATTGGAAGGGGATCATTATTTACCGCTACTACCCCACTGATTGCACATGGACTACTCTGAAAATATGTAAAGTATATATGTATGTATTACTTTTGCTTATACTGAGTTGGGCATCAATTGGCTTCACAAGTCTTTATGATCAAGAAGCTAGAAATACTACTAAGTGTTGAATGGCACATCCGAGAATGTTCAGTGTGAATGATTTATCCTTTTATACACTCAAGAGACACCGCATTTCAGTGCCTTCGCTGCGATTGCCAGTGCTCTTGTCATCCCGACGCTGTACAGCTATTTACAATATATTCACAGTCACGTTCAAGATGAGGTTTGGACCTTGACCGCTTCTTCAAGGCAGCGATTACGATAAAGAGGGAGCGCATCGGGAAGCATATGCACCACACGAATCAGTTACTTGGCTGCCAGGGAAGCGAGGTGTAGCGCTTTCACGACGAAAGGTGCGCTGGTTGCTGAGCAGGACTTCGAAAGCACTCCGCCCCCAAAAGCGATCCGCCCACTAGTTTAGTTGGTGATTTGGACGAGCTGCGTTGCCAGCAGCGGCACAACTGGAGCAACTCGATTGGAGCGTGGTTTGGCATGGTGCCACCAAACGCGTTGCGTGAACTCGTTCATACGTCCGCTTTCTGAGCTGTTACCTGTTCATGAGTGAAAACCAACGGCCAAAAAAGGGGGTCCCGTTTTGCGTTTTCTTGACGGATTTCTCTGCTTTTTTTCGCCACTGGCGTACCATTGAGCACACGTCCCTCTTGACCCCTTCTAAACCTATCGTAATCACTGCCTTTAAAAAAATTTCCCAGGTTTTTTTGATTTTTTCATTTTTACCTACTACTGTCAAGTAAAAGCGGATGCTATGGATAGTATAGGAAGTAAAATTTGTTGGGAACGTCAATAACTTTTTAAGGCGGCGTTCTGTAAGAAACGAGTGATGGATCTCCAGCAGATCTACGAAAAGATCGACTTACACACCGGATTGAACTCGAGGAAGAAAAGAAGCTTTTTCCAAGAAAGTAAGATCTGTGGCTCGAATTTCTTTTCAACAACAATTTGTAGGGTGGGTTTAGATAGCTGAGAACGTAGACTGAGAGGCGTCCAACGACTCCCACTTCCCGTAGGTCAAGCTAGAATCAGATCAAATAAACATCGAGGGTGACGCTAGACAAAGAAATTATGGGTAATGATTCGATTCAAAATCATTGAATGCTGATTGTTATTGGTAGGACCCGGTTCGATCAAAATGGGGTCACCGGTTAGAAAGAAATCGAATAGGAGCCATCCTCAGCGTTTGTTATCACTGCTAGAGGCTAAAATCGATGTTAGAAGAATCTGAATGAATTTCTCAAGTTTAGATCAATCCTATGTTTATTGCCCATGTAACAGTGGCCGTGCAGGGGAACCCGGACTACCGGGAGAACCTGGGAGGGACGGCAAGGATGGTGAGCCAGGTGAACCGGGCAAGGTCGGGTTTTTAAAACACTACGACACTGACGGATAAATAAATACCACATCAAATTTTACAGGACGGCTTCAATCCGCCGGAAGATGGGCATTTTGATTTTTGCATGGATTGTCAAATGGGGCCTCCGGGGCCTCCAGGAGACGTGGGACCAAAAGGACCACGTGGGCCTCCAGGTCATGATGGGGTGCCTGGCACACATGGTCGACCCGGACAACCAGGCAGTCCTGGACCAGAAGGAAGACCAGGAAACGATGGAGAAGCCTGGAATGCCAGGAGATCCTGGAATGCACGGCCGATATTTTGTGAGCACTTTATCTGCCGCTGTGACACAAAAGCCTCAAACGAATGAACATTTCCTCTTCAGGATGTCCATGCACCCATGGGACCTCCTGGACCACGCGGTGCGCCAGGAATTGAGGGGATGCAAGGCATTCCCGGAGTTTCAGGTAAACCTGGTAAGTCACCAGTGCTATTTCACGGCGCAATTCTTCTCAGGCACAATGAACTCAACACAATAATCTGTATTCTTTGAATATTCTTCTTGCTGTGCTCTAAAAGCTAAGTTTTACTATTCACGAGTGTTTTTTGCCTTATGAAGAACAGTGGTTGTCAAAATCACTGCTCACTCATACCCCTGCAGATGAGGGTAGAGGTGTCAGACAGGTGGCTCGTCGTATCAGCTTATAGGGACTAGGACACATTTGAGGCTTGATAAGGTGTGAATCGAAATCTGTCGAATCACGAGAATCACCGAGTGCAGATCTCACACCACAAGTGACGACGGCCAAGAAAAAGGCTTTTTCATTTCTCTTTTCTTGGCCGTCGTCACTTGTGTTGTGTGGTCTGCACTCGACGCTCTTCTCGTTTTCCGAAATGGAGGGTGCATGTTCAAGCACTTGCATAGGGACTGAGATAAGTGGTCGTTTTTGTGGAAGAAGATCGCTAAAGTTTTGAAATACAATGCTGACCGAGTAGGTATGCCTTCTGGTAGGTATGCCTCGTTGTTTTCAGAGCTGCTTTTCACTGCATGGCGTGGTTCAAAATGTAACAACACAAATGATGGATCAATCGCTCGAGAATACTAAACTGATGCTAAGTCCAGTAGCAAAGTCAAAGTTCTGAGAGAGATTCAAATTTTGGAAAACTTTGCTGATGATTATTGGTCATCAAGTCGCCCTGAGTTATTGTTTTAATTAAGCCTCGGACACTCCTTTTCCCTCACCTGAATCAAAAGCAAATTTCAGGTGCTCCAGGCCTTCCCGGTCCTCCAGGCGACAAGGGTCTTCATGGAATGCCAGGAGTTGATGGATCGCGGGGTTTGCCTGGTCCCAGAGGAAAAGTCGGTTCCAAGGCAGCTGCAACCACTGCAATATTGGGAAACCAATTGACTCGTCATCGAATGAATTGCGAGTAAGCTGAATAAACTACATGAAGTGGTTGTCGAAAAATGAGTCTCGCGATTTGTTGTAACTTTGTATTGTTGTGTTCTTGACGCGCTCAGTATTCAAATATTTTTACAAAATTGCTGATCGCACTGATATAGCTTTTATTTCTCCTCTCTATATGGAAGTGCAATAAATGTGCAACTTCCAACCACAACTCCAGAAGTATTCCAAATTGTGTGAACGAGGTATAACACCAACAAATGTCTGTTCGCATTTATCGCCGAGTTGAGTCGGGTTTTTATTTATTACAGGCCAGCAATGCGAACAGAAATCACTACAAAACCCATAAATTTACTAGCAATGATCCAGAAACCTATTTCAGAAATGCAGACGTGAACGCTAGGGTCCTCCACTTTGCGTACATTGGTCACCGAGTTCCTCCCTCTGCCGTCTACACATATGCACTTACACCATTTGAGATGAAAACAAGGCGCCTTCCATTGTACAGTACACTGGCCGTCCAAACTTCTGAGAGTGTCAAATGAGCGTGCTATGATCAGTTGGCTGCCGAGGGAAATTATGTTGAGTTGGCTTGCGATGCATTGGGGAGGAACGTTACAAAGGGAACGGCTCAAAGTTCGCTTATAAGGCGTTATTCTCAAATTTGGTTCTCGAAAGCAACAGTTCACGGTGAAGTCATGTGATCTTCCGTGCACAAGCCAATTCTGTGAACGGGATTTTCGTCAGAAAATTGAAAAATGTTCAAGAAAAGTCATTTGATGTGCCATTTTCGCGTTCAAACATACTAAGGTTGATTTTCTTTTCACTCTAACTTTATACTTGGCGGTGGCAAACATATTCCTGAAGAAGGTGTTATACACCGAAATATCGCGGAGAGATTTCAAAAGGATTTCTTTTTCAAATAGCTTTTTGCTCTTTTGAAACTTTTGAGTTTTTGGAATTTTTGAACTTTCTGAACTTTTGGAATTCTTTTGAAATAAAATTTTGGTGCCTCTCTGTGTTATACAATATTTAGGTGCTGATGAGGCTCCGGGACAGCACAATATTAGACATACTGAGGATGTGCAGCGACTAGGCAAGGATCTGGCACCTAATGTGTCGGAGAGTTCTTCTGAACTTAAGCTTATATCATCACCCTACATTGTGCGAGATGGTACTTCATTGCTCCATATGTGCAAAGTACAAGCAAGGAGCCTTGAGTCCATTTTGCCGAAATTGCATGGGCGCACCAACGAGTTGTGGTGGTTTGCAATCATCTTTTTACGTAATACAAAACGCGAAGGCGGTGTAGGTAGTCTATTTTGGGCGAGAAGAATCCTAATGAGGGCTTTATCAATAGTACAATAAGTTTGAAGTAAGATTCGAATGAAAAGCCACGCTTCTCTCGATGAGCGGACTTGCTAACGGTTGTGCTATGCTTGGGCTGCCTCCTTCGGCTTATGTGGGGGTCGTATCGTGTCCATCACACATCTCACAGACTCCGTTGCTTACGGGGAAATTCCCGAGGCCGATTTAGAGATAGGTCATAAGCGAGCAATTTCATTCGTGATTCAAAGTTCAGCAATAATGCTACCGTTCCCGCGAATGCCTCAGCACTTTTCGAAAGGCGAAACGCATCTTCTGATCCGACTACACTGAAATTCAACCAAGTTCTTTTACTCCTCCCTGAAATTTAACCCGCTGTGTACAGTTCGACATAGTGGAACAGTCAAAAAACCCCATCTAAGAGGTTTAGGAGCTGATAGCACTTCGAACAAACCTTCAGCTTGTCTTGAGCGTGTTAAAGCGGATGCCTGAAAGCACTCGAAGGAGATGGAATGTTGCAAGGTTGCATCTGTTATTTTTGTTGTGACCTTTGTTCTGTATATCATTAACACAAGCAACCGCCGTACATTGCTGCATGCACATCTGTATTCTGCCCCACAACAAACCTTTTAAGTACTCCTTTGAATGTTTGACTTATGCAGAAAATCCCATCATGTAAACCTGTCAACGGCAGACACAGCATCACCTCAACTCAGTGAAATCGAAACGAGACCCATAATCGCATCATGTGGTGGTCCAGCGGATAGGCTGAGTTGGCTCCTAGTTCAGCTCCTTTCACCCCTGTTGCGGTATGTGGGAGCACACATTGTCAACGTCGACGAATTTATTTCAGCACTTCACCGATGTTCAGTTCCGACGACAGCTTTCTATGCGAGTTTCGATGTAGTGTCCTTATATACAAACGTTAACAATGCGGACGCAGTACAAGCTGTTTTATCCCTTCTGGAAGAAAACCGCAGCCAGGTTTCCATGATGGGATTTTCTGCAAACGAAATAAAGGACCTCATCGAAGCGGCACTGGAATGCAACATTTTCCGCTTTGACAACAAATTTTGCAAACAGAAAAGAGGC